AGGGTTCAATTCCCCGACACTGCTAACATCTGTGGCACGTTGGTATACAAACCGATCCTGGTCCTCACCTAGATCGAGCCATCCTAAAACGAGGACCTTAAAAAAGTTGCGACACATCAGCAGCGTGGATACAAAGGCAGTCGAACGTGTTGATGATCACAGCGACCGCTGCGCGGAGTGACGGCCTACAATGACACGGGGGACCTTTGTCATTGTATGTAAATAGGTTTAAAGAGCCGTGAGATTGTGTGCCCAGTGTATCTATCTGCGCATGTGTGTGTCTATATGCTCTATGCACACCGAAGCCTCAAAGTGCACCGAGCCCAATCGCCGTCTCTAATTGATGATCGCTTTAACAGCACTTGCCCTGACAGCCTGTGCATCCTATCCGGGGGATCTTTGTCTCTGTAAGGGGTTCTTTGTTCTACGTTGACGCTGATGCAAAGAGGAATCAACTCTGAAAATGCGCACATGCCACATGCCGCGCTCTCGTACAAATGTGAACGATAGGCCACAGTTCAGCGTACTCGCTCAGGTCCACGTTAAAACTTAGATCGGTCACTCGAGTGCCAAGGACAATTCAGCTCGCGTCTCACCACCCACACCGCGTGCTCACCACATACAAGAGTTTACCACTCAGACCACATCTTCACAACGCACACCGCGCGCTCGCCACGCACACCACGTGCTGACCTCCTACACGTCCTCACCCCGTATACTACGCGTCTCTCCACGCACACCAAGTGCTCACCACGCACACCGCGTGCTCACCTCGGACACCGCGTGCTCACCACGCACACCGCGTGCTCACCTCGTATACCACGTGCTCGCGCCCGGGACTGGCGCACGCGTCCCCCGCTGCCTCCACCCGGCGCGGCTCGGGCAACGCCACGGGCAGAGACCTCACGATCCTAGGAGGTGCCCCGTGCGGCGCGGAGGGCCCAGCAATGTGCGACTCCGGCACCAAGGTGGTGAGAGCGGTTGCTGTTTGGCTGCTGCTGCTGCTGGTGCCGGTGGTGCTGCTGGTGCCGGTGGTGTTGCTGCTGCTGCCGCGCCCGACTTTGAGACGGAATTGCTTGCGCACATCCTCCAGAGATGGGACCTGCGACAGGAACCCGTGCGCTCTGCGCGCCTCCACGCTCGGTTTGTTCCTCCCGGGCAACGACGCCGACTTGGCCTCGTGAAGGGCCTTGGCGCTCGGCGTGAGAGCCGCGGAGGAGGCCGCCGCCGCCGCCGCCGCTTCGCTTGGGGCGCGCGCCGCCGGCCTGAAGGGCGATCTGGAGGCCGCCTTGCATTGTCCGAGAGGCATCCCGACTCCGACGCCGACCCCGACGGACGCGGCCACCGCGGAACCCTCGCTCGCCTTTCCCTGATCCCTGGCCTTCCTGCTAAAGCCCCTGGCGAGGTGCGGGGTGGTGGGGGGCGCGGAGAGGAGCTCCCCCGGGGACAGCGGCGCCTGGGCCCGGCGTGCGGCGCGAGGTGGCACCGTCTCGGACTGGGACCGCGCGCGGAACGGATGCGTCTCATCTCCAACTCGTTCACCTCGTTTTTCTCCTCGCTGCTGAAGAGCGCCCGAGAGGCCACCACCACTCCCACCACCTCCACCACCACCACCGCTCTGCTCCAACTCGCTGATGGAGTCCACCAGACTGCGGAATCCCACCGTGCGCATCTCGCCGTAGGGGCTCGGGTCGCTCAGAGATTTCTTCTTCGGGGCCCTGGTGCCATCCTCGGGCCCCGCGGTCCCAGCGCGAGGACGCTGTTGGTGGTGCGGCTGGGGCCCCGGCTCGCTGGCTGCTCGCTCCTCGGGGCTGGGCCCGCGAGGGGTGGGCCCCACCTCGCTGCATATGGAGGAGGCGTCGCTGTTGGTGCTGAAGCTGCACTCGCTGAGCGCGCGGGGCACGGGGGATTCCGACATGGACCCAGGGAGACTGCCCCGTCCCTGATGCTGCTGCAGCTGGAGCTGGGCGAACTCTGCCTCCTCAGTGACCGAACTCAACCGGCGGAGAAGTGCGGGGTCACTGTGGAAGCGCGCGCGGTCGCGGTCTCCATCGTCCGCGCCGCGACCGTTCGTCGCTGTCGCCGCTGTGGCCGCCGCGTCGGGGAGAGGCTGCCCCTTGGCCGCCCCTCTCCTCCTCGCCCGGCCGCTCCCTTGGCCGCCTTCGGCCCCGTCCCGGGACCCGGGCGCCGCCTCGGCCGCTGTCCCCGCTCTCCGCACGACCTTGAAGGCGGACGCGCGCGCGTGCGACTCGGTGGGCCCGTCGCACGACTCGGAGAGGCGGCCTCCTCCTCCTCCTGGCGCTGGTCGTGTAAACCCGCCCTCTTCCAGCTCGGACGAGGTGGCACCACCGCTCTGGATAACGGTGCCCACCGCTTGCGGTGGCCCAAGAGGGGCCCAACCGCAGCCCCCACCTCGGCGTGCCCTATCCTCACCTCCCCTCGCGCATTCCGAGCCCGCGTAGTCTCTGCTGGATCCCTGTCCGAGCGGCTCCCTTGACTGATGCTGCTGCAGATGATGCTGATGCTGCTGCTGATGCTGCTGATGATGATGCTGTTGTTGATGATGCTGTTGCTGCTGCTGTTGGGCACCGTTGCGTTCCCGGTCGCGGGGAATGGGCGCGTCAGCGCACCCCCCGGGGAATGCCCCTTCCTGCTGGCCTACCCCGTCGCCCGCTGCCCTCGCCGCCCGGTGGAAGGAGTGCGCAGCGAGAAGGTGGTGATGGTGGTGGGAGGCATCGTCCTCGGTCCCCGCCGCACGGCCCACGGTGAAGGACTGACTCCTCCGCAGCGCGGCCGTCAGGTCCTTGAGCCGGTGTCTCCGCGGGGTGCGCGGGCCCCCCCCCACTCACTACGCCGCCGCCGCAAGGGGGGCCCGACCTCGACCCCCCTGATCGTCCCTCGAGACCCGGAGAGAGCCCGGCCTGGACCCCGTGTCCTGCGTCCCTCAACTCCCCGCGCTTGATGCGAAGGCTGGAGAAGTCGGTCTTGAGGAGGTTGAGCAGGGTCATGGTCTCGGACGTGAGGTCGGGGTTGGACGTGGACTTCTTCTCCTTGGCGACGTCGCTCTGAATGTTCGAGTTGGACTCAGGGTAAGGCAGCGGCGGGGCGGCACCCGCCGACTCGGACATCGCCGTCCACGGCGGGGCTCCGGGAATGATGGAAGCAGGGATCTCGGGTCGCCTCCGCACGAGGATCTCCCGTGGCGGCAACGCCTCTCCCACCCGCGCTTCCAGCGGCCGCGTCCCCCGAGACTTCATCATTAGCAGCATCTCCTCCGCGTCTCCGTGCGCGCCGCGCTCGGCCCAGTCGCTCCGCGTTCGCCTTTTATGGTGCTGCTGCTGATGGTCCCGTTCTGATGGTGGTGGTGGCTCTGCTTGAGAATCGTGCTGTCGCTCGCTCGCCACGGGACCATCACCACCACCGCCATCACCACCACCACCGCCACCATCACCACCATCACCAGCAGACGAATTCGCCGCAGTAGCAGCGGCGGCGGCGGCGGCGGCAGCGGCTGCAGCTGCCGCTGCCGCCGCTCTCTCTCGCCTCCCTCTCCACGGCAGCAGCGTGAATCCAGACACGGCCGAGTGCTCGAACATCGCCCCACCGGGGCCCCCCACAACGGCGAGACGCACCTCCCCCCCCCCGATAAACCTCCTCGAGACCCCAACACCACCCACCGACCTAACTCCGCTCAACTCAATCCACCTCGCACCCCTCCACGACGGAACGGAACGGCCCCAGTTATCGCTCTACGGGGGAGGTTCCTTTTGGCCATGCGGGAACCGAACTCGTCAGATGTCTCCGATCTCCCCCCACCCCACGGCTGCTCCCAGCGAGGCGAGGGGGTAGCCTGGCTCCCAGCGAGGCGAGGGGGTAGCCCCGGGGCCCGGGCACGGGCGCCGCAGTGCGGGACGCGCGTCTCGGCGGCTGTCGCCTCCACGGCGCGGGAGGAATGCGCGGCGAGCGGAGAGGGCTCCGGGATTTTGGCTCAACGCGGCGATGACGCGGCCGAGGTGGGGGCGACGTGGCCCCCAGCTCATAGCGCGAGCCACGCTGTGTGAGCCACGCTGTGAGCCACGCTGAGCCACGCTCTGCGCGTGTGAGCCACGTTCGGTGCGTGTAAACCACGCGGTGTGAACCACGCCGCGTGGTTGTGAGTCACGCTGTGTGCCACACTGAACCACGCTCTGGCTGAGCCACGCTACGTACTGAGCCACGCTCTATGGTGACGCCGTGCGCGAGCCACCGCGTGAGCCACGCTGTACGAAGCATCCCGAGAGCCACGCTCTATAATAAGCAACAGTGATGCACCACGCCGCGTGAGCCGCCTACTGTGATGAGCCACAGATGTGCGAGCCATTCTCTGGCGAGTCACGCCCGTACGGCTCACCAGCCGAGCCCCGCCCCCCAGGACCCTGCAGCCCCACCACCTGGAGTCTCTCGTTACGATCGCGCCCCCGCCAGCCCCCCTTTTTCAGGAGCGCGCGCGCTGAACGGAAACACGTGTCCACGTGTCTTCACGAAACCCTCGCACGCACCGCCTCGCCCAGCCACGGACTCCGCACCCACCTCCCAACCACAGCAGCCAGCTGATTCTTCAGCGCAACTCTCAACTCCCGCACTCAAACCTTGACAACTTTTTTTTTATTTTACCAGCTAAGGCCCTACGAGCTATGCAACTTTTTTTCAGAAGCGAGATGGTCACAAATGATAGCTCAACGAAGTGGATTATCGCGTGGTAAATTATAGCAGCTGATTACTCTTAGCGCATGTTTATTGTCAAAAAAACCGGAGGGCCTGGATGAAAATCCACGCGACCACGGGGAGAACATGCAAACTCTAAATACACAGGTGCCGGGGTAGGGATCGAACCCACACGCTCCTGTATACCAGGCAAGGTAGTTAACATCCCACCACCGCCACCATTCCTCCACAATACATCCACCACCCAGCCCATATCCCCCTGCAGTTCCATGCACAACAGATCTCAGAGACAACGGTGGGTTTAACTCAAGACGGCTTTTATTTTTTACACGGATGACTGTGCGCGCTGTTCCCAGGTCACTGTCGTCCTCCAGCACCTGAAACGAGAGCCATGGCATTTCATAAAAATCACATTTCTTGTAAGACAGCGTTGACAGCCGTTTGTAAGCACAAGTAACAAAAACGCGCTTTAACACTGTGGCCTCAATAGGGCTAAACCAATATATGCGAAGGCCCTTTCTTCAGAGCAGGAATATTCTCATTGCCCTGACCCGGGTTTGGAAATGCAGCAGATTCTCTCCAGAGCAGAGCGAGTCAACCCGCATGATCAAGTGGCACCAAGGGGAACGAGTACGCTGCGGCAATGAGACGCTGCAGTAATGGTCCACACACTGCTGCTGGTGACAACCCCTTAACACCATGCTCACGCCGCACACACCCAATGGCACGTGTTGCACCAAGTGTTTACAGACGGGCTTGGAGTTAGTGGGGTTGTAATGAAAACAGGGTCAATCATCGGCATCCCGATTTGGAATGCAACAATGAACCCAAGCTGAAAGTCAATTTTTACGTTCACGAGACACCATCAATTGAATCGTGGGAAAATTGTGACCGCCGCAAATTATACATGAACGTATGAGACTAATGGCACAAACACAGGCCGCGATTCAAAACGAACGAGACGTCAAAACTACCGTTTGGCGAATCGCGACAAAACCGTGCAGTGGCCGAATCCGAACCACGGTACCACGACACGAGGGCGGTACCAGCACCTCGGGTCGCTGGAAGCGGCACGGCGCCAGGAAGCTCAGCCCTTCCCGCCCCCACTCCGTAAGCACGCGTCCTCGCTTACAAACATTTTCCATCAGACGCGAGGGCCTTCGAATGTCTGGCTGTAACGATTTTATGGAAACGCAGCTGTGAAAACGCCGCCACGAGTCATAATTGGTCCGTTTCTAGACCTGGGCAAACACCTGCCTCTCGGCCCACACGGCCAGCAGCGTGTGGAGGGCGGCTGCTGTAACCCAGTTTCCCCAATAGCAGAGGCCACAAGTAGGGAAGCAATCCGAGGGGGCGTGGTAAGGGAATAGCGCCCCCTGGTGCCCGGTGGGAGTTACATAACCAAACGAAGGCCCCAATTCTACTCTCGCGTATGCCAATACGTTCAGGAGCTAGATGTCAGTATCGAAGTGCAAGCCACGAGGGGGCCTTCAGGCGATAATTCGTGCAGATTTGCGATTTCTCCTGAAGGAGCGCTGACAAGAGTGCTTTACGACATGGTCCATCGCGTGGTTTGAGAGGCCACAACACTTTTTAGCCAGGGCTCTGGCACAAGTGAGCGGCCGGCTGTGAAAGCAAGTGCCTCTCATCCCGAGCTGAACCGTGTTGGAGGCCAAACCAGAGCAGAGCCCGAAAAATACGGCCTCACTTTTGACAATTTCAGTCTGAGCGCAGAGAATATTCTACTCAAGTTGCTGTAATGCAACGGCCAACTGGGACCAAGAGGCCAAGGCATTTGCTCTTTGGTACAGATGTTACGCGTTACAGGCTCTCGCATGACCTTGCACAAGACCATTAATGTTTCATTAAAAGCAAGTAAATTTGTTTTAAGCCAACCCACAACACTGGCTGCGTGGGACTCCCAGACGCGAACCACTCCAAGTCTGGAGGACTGCTGAGAAGCGCCTCTCAACACGTGGTAGGCGTGACAACGCTGTAACAAATGTGTTTTTTTGTTCCTGGGTAGTGTTATTTCCTAATTGCTTACGCCTCAAATGTACAGAAAATGGCTATGCCCCACAAACTTTGCTTTTGTGACCAGGACAGTGACATTTTGAAATGTACCTATTTTCAATGAGAAAACGTGCATTTGTGTCATTCCTTCACAAAGTCCTGGTCACAAAAGCAAAGTTTGTGGGGAAGCCATTTTCTATACTTTTGAGGCATACGCAATTAGAAAATAACACTTACTACCCAAGAACAAAAATCGTGTTACATAGTGCAATCACTTAATAACGAAAAAACTCAATAAGATTCTCGCGATTCTGAGTTTCGGTTTGATTCCATGTTGGGATGAATCTTGCCATTGTTCCATACCGTTTGAGATGTTCATAGCCCGTCTCATTTGTTATGTTTGATCCATAGGATTTAGTCTAATACCACTATATATTTGCTTGTTATATTATTTTCACAATTTTCTGGTTAATTTTAACAGATGGTTTATTGAATTCCTGGCTAGAAGTCAAACCGGTTGTGATTTGTATTGAAACCTGTTTAAAATTCCACATGGCCCTTCTCCAACTTAATCAGCACAATGAAGTACGGTCAAATAACACTCAAGAGTGCCGGCACGAGGATAACTTCATCCGAACATTCCCCTTTTCTCTGCACAGAACTCGATGAGCATTTAATCTGCCACTGCATATTTTCCACGATAGACTAGATTCAGTCACGTGACGAGCAGCCCATAGCCATACCGACAGATTTTGCCGAATGTTGTGGTGCGTGAAAATATATTCTGGATTGCCGACCCAGCCAGACGCGGCTAAAGCCGAGCTCGAAATCAGGGTCTCCGTAGTTACGCGTACAGATCGCTGGCTCGGCGCACCGTGGTTTCTCAGACAAATGCCTCGTTACTTTGGCATCAGAGCACGGGGCAGGGGGACCCCGCGTACCATGACCACGCTCGCAAAACGCGAGCAGGGGGCCGGGCAGCACGGGGAAGCCGCTGCCCCTTCAGCCTCGTCATCAAAATCATCACCAAAACCACGGGCGCAACACCGGTCCAATCGATCATGCCGCGAGTGCCGGGTGGCTTGCCCACGAAGTTCACCAACTGTGAGCAAGGCCGCCACATTCATATGGACTGGCGACGACGCAGACAAGATTACCTCTGATGGCTTTACATATCTGGTCGACATTGGGTTACAGTTGGGGTTGTGATGTAACTGGATTAGGACCTGTAAAGACCATCAGCAGACATCTATCCCACTGCTTAAGGTCTCCCCCCCGCTCACCGCGCGCTGTCAGGGTCTGTCAATGCAGCAATCCGTCAAGCGTCTGAACATGAGCTGCATTTTTGTTATCTTGTGGATGTCTACCCCCATACAGCAGTGTACTGTATATCGTGAAAAATGTACATATGCACCCTTGCGTGTAATGTTGTCGTTTTGCATGTGGCCAGAAGATCTGCACTAACACAAGTTCACACGTATGTGGAGGTTATCGGGTCATGTCCTGATGCATTTCATCCAAAGACCTGGTTCATCTTGTCATTAACCCTTGTTGCAATTGTGAACACCCTGATGATATAGTGGCAAACTTTCTTCTAGGACCGCATGCGATTCGTTTGAGCAATCAACACCTGTATTTGATGAGGCTCCAACTCCACAAAGTATAAACGTAAAGAATGATCTCGTATATGATTCTTCCGTCATTGAGGTCACAAACGATTTCTCTATGCCCTCGTGTTACACGTAGTGCCATAGCACACACGACACAATAACAATCTACACTATCAATGCAGAGAAGTAATGAGAGAGCAGCAATCTATTTCAATCTCGTGACTGCCACCCAGATTTTCTTTTGTGGGTTTGCAGTGGAGTGGTGGTTAGCATCCCCTACACTCAATAATTACGCTCTGAATGAGATAGACTCCAATAGAAAGCAATAGACAGACTTGCATAGACCGGTGGTATAGCATCATTGGCATCCCCCCATCACCCCACGTTTGTCCAATTCTCAGTTTAAGCCTGGGCTGGGAATCAAGGCGTGCTTCTTCTCCACACAGACGTACCCTTGTCAGCAACCTTCCACCATATCTTCCCCTGAAAAGAGATAGAAACAATTAGAGATACATTTGGCTTGGGCGAACAATGTCAATGACGACATTACTCAACGGCCAGTGGATGAAAAATAAAACAGGGGAAAAGTTTAGTCCATCATGGAACTAAGACGGTAACATCGTGGTTTCTCAGACAAATGCCTCGTTACTTTGGCATCAGAGCACGGGACAGGGCGACCCCGTGCGCCATGACCCTGCGCTCGCAAAACGCGAGCAGGGGCCGGGCAGCACGGGGTAGCCACTGCCCCTTCAGCCTCGTCATCAAAATCATCACCAAAACCACCGCTATCGCCGCTCCAAATTACTCATGACCACCTCCAAGGTTAATGTTCAATTTCACGCTCTTAAAATGTTTTACTCGCATAGTATGGAAACTTGAGCAAACTACTGAACTGAACAACCAAAACCCATTTGTTGGGTTATGACCCAAACTCAATACTACCCCGTGCGTATATTTGTGGCTGCAGTGCCTTAGTGTGTGTGCACGCACTCTTACCAGAGGTGGCCTTAGGCGGTGGGCACGGCTGGCGTGGGAGGCGGCTGTGCCACAGGCATGGTGGGCTCAGGTTTGCTGCCCTTCTGCTCAGAGACGGGGCCCGTGGGCAGCACCTCATCCTTGGGCTCCACGATGCTCACGTTGTCTGGGAGCGGCTTCTTGGGGCCCATCTTGCCCGTCGTGTCCCAGGGCAGCATGATCTTCACCTTGATGCCCAGCACCCCTGCAGGGTGAGAGGTAGGGGGTCGTGGTGGTTCCCCAGCAAAAGACAATCAACACTGATCAGTGCTTCGCGGCCTACTAACTGCCAAATAGGCGGGAGCCCATAGAGATTCGCCAGGAGCCAATGTAATGATGCAGATTAAAACCAATTCTTATAACAGTGATACGCACACAGCATCCCATTGTGCGTATTGTCAGTTGGTATTTGTTTTATCTAGGCAGTATGCTTTAGACAGTACCATTTATCAAGTAGATTAAATAAACCAATTGAGATACATGAATCATCATTGCTTCGTTAAGCACGACATCTTACTTTCTACCTCTTGGCATTTTTCCCGTTTTTCCTTCTAGAAATTACTTCAAGTTTTCACCTCTGGGAATGTGCCCGTGTCCACATCTTGTGCCTTTATTTTAATCCAGCGGTGGCTAATACACCAAGTACTGTGACCCAGACTGGTGGACCTCCACGGGCTCCACCATGATCCACCAGATGACTATTGAACAATTGCCCAGATTTAACCCTGTAATGTACTAAAAACAAAGTCCAAGAGCCATCTATTGGTGAAAGTTATTTTTCTAATTAATTCTTAGTGGGGGTTTTTATTTCACAGCCATAAACAAAAATTATTGTATCCTTGTATACATTTTCTTCCAATTTGTTCGGATATCTACGGATTGGCCACCACGTTTCTCTTTGAAATTATTTCCCCCAGAGCTGGTGGTTTCTCAGACAAATGCCTCGTTACTTTGGCATCAGAGCACGGGGAAGGGCGACTCCATGCACCGTGACCCCACGCTCGCAAAACGCAAGCAAGGGGCCGGGAGCACGGGGCAGCCGCTACCCCTTCAGCCTCGTCATCAAAATCATCACCAAAACCACACAAACGCTGCCGGGGGAACGTCGTCACCTTAGGGGGAGGTGCGCTCCACCAAATGGGTTCCAACCACAAACTGTAACGGTGCGTGGCTGAGAAATGGACCCCCGCCCCACTGGTGCCATTATGTGGCCTCATCAGGGTGGGCTACACATTTCTTGCCACCAGTGAACTATTACTCGGTAATAGTTACTCAGAAAAAGTTCAGTGAAGATTAGAGTTGAGTGTCAGGTTGTTTTTGTCCAATAAGGTGCTGTACTGTTGAGCAACTTTTAACAAAATAAGTTTGGAACCGTCCTAAAATGTCATGTTTAGTTGCAAGTGCACGCAAAGATGACTTGGTTATAAACAAAATAAGGCAGAACAATTATTGCGAAGGTGCAGCAAGAGGCCAACAGCAGCACACAAAGCAACCCATTACAGCAGAAAGCAACCCATTACACCAGTAGGAAAAAAAGGGTAGCTTCTGATATAAGCAATGATGAAGTGTGCTTATATTTAGTTTCTGCTGTCATCCCAAACACTTCATAGTGGGTGGTTGGGGTACCGAATAAAATGTTTCCATAGGGAAAAGCCCATTCGACGAGCACCAATATATTCTCAAATTATGGTTGCTCAGCAGAACGAATACTAATTCCTGAAGAAATTATTATTCGTAAGAACTATTCCAGAGGGGAGTCAATATTCCTGAATATTCGTTCCTCGAGGAACATTAATTCGGGAGAAAAGTATATTCCTCTGATGGTGGCGGAATGTCAGTTTGGAAATCTCACCCTGGCGCAGGAGCACGTGGCGGATGGCGGTGTCCACGTAGTGGTTGACGGGGTCACCGCTGTGGATCATGAGGCCGTCCACAAACTTCATGGACTTGGCGCGCTGGCCGCGCAGCTTCCCCGACACCACCACCTCGCAGCCCTTGGCACCGCTCTCCATGATGAAGCGCAGCACGCCATAGCATGCCCTGCGGCACAAAGCGCGAGCCACGTTGTGAGCGCAAGTCGCGTACACCGTTGCAGGAAACCACCTTTTAGATATCTAATTTTAAAGGCCACAACAGCCTTATTGACGAACGTGTCGAGCATTGTTATTTGTGCTCGTGCACCACTGTCAAAGAAGTTTCACGAATTTAAAGAGATAAACATAATGGTGAGACAGGGACAACCTTTACATTCTGAGCGCAATGTGCCCAGTGCATGAACCAGCAACGCTCACTGCAGAGGTGCTGGGATGAAAAAGGGTTCTTTGCTCTCCCCTCCAGAGATTAAGGGTGCTGAGCCACAGAGAAGGCCGCCCCTTTGCCCAGATCAAGAGGGGGTTACAAGTGTCCACTGCTCGTCAAGCCGTTGCGTATTAACCAGTCCTTCTGTCAATCCACTGGTGGATGAGGGGATGTCCTCATGCAGCAGTGCAACTCCGTTTAGCACGGTTGGCTACATACGGTGCAAAAGAAGTTCAACATACATACACTGTCCATGCAGGCCATGTGCATTGCGGGGGGGGGGATCAAACAACCATATTGGTGTATGCTGGTCAGTGTAGGTTGATGGAGGAAGCACAATACAGTACAACCATAGATTTTGCTGGACTGCTCACTGCGCAGCACTGCCTTGTTTGTGCATGGCGGTCGCCCATCCAAGCATCATCCAGGCTCTAACCTGCTTAGTTTTCTGAGAGCTAATGAGATCGGGGGCATTCCAAGTGATTTTTTTCATGAGACAAGTCAATAGAGACCGTTTATTTTACTATAATAATTTATTAATCGTGGTTTACCCAGGAAAACCTCACCCGGTCTCATTTTTTTCACAAGGGGGGGGGGTGGACTTAAGGCTGCAGGTTGTTGGCGCTTTGTGAATTCCAATGGAGTAAACCGCTGGCAGCCATCAACCCAGGCCGGCCCGAGTGGCGACTCGGCAAAGGAATTCCTAACCTGCGGACAGCGAGCCCTCCGAGCAGCTTGTAGCGCAGCGACTCGCACTGGGCGATGGCGCATAGGCCACGGTTCGCCACCTTCTCCGCGTACAGCTGCAGACGGGACAACAGCAACACGCGCTTACAGGCACCGTGAAAAAAAACACAGATTATCTGGTTAAATGTTTCAATCATTTTGTCCTCTCCCCCCAACCCCTGGTTTTATCCCGAGTCGTGCTATCGGTGGTCGAGTCGCGCGACTCCACTCGCAACTCTCGCACAGGCAGTGCATCACCCTCTGTTATAGAATATAGCCCATAGAAGAGGCCATCACAGAGCTCCCTCTTAAATCCATTTTAATTTACTGTTCTACAGTATAGGGCATTGCAGCTGCAGGGTTTTTCAAGGGTGGAAAAAGTTTTATTTTATGGCTTAACAGATGGTAACGTCGTGGTTTTTCAGACAAATGCCTCGTTACTTTAGCATCAGAGCACGGGGCAGGGTGACCCCGCGCACCGTGACCACACGCTCGCAAAACGCGAGCAGAGGGCCGGGCAACGCGGGGCAGCGACTGCCCCTTCAGCCTCGTCATCAAAATCATCACCAAAACCACACAAACGCTGCTGTTGCGACGCTCATCACCTTAGAAGGGTTATGCACAAGTCTAAACATTTAAAAAATAATTAATCACATAAATATATATTTGTACCCCCCCCATCCGGGAGCAGAATTATACTGGGATCAAATTACTATCGCATGAAAGCAATCAAGTTCCGCTAGTGTCCACACCTCAACGCTGCCCTCAGGGAAGTTGAATCGCTTCTGGATGACGGACGTGAGCTCGCGGATGCGACGTCCCTTCTCTCCCAGCACATTCTGGGTCCTTCACGGTGACGGTCACAACCACCAACACAATCGCACAAACACACTATGGTCACACACGGCACAGGGTAAGGGTCATACGTGTGCAGTGCTGGTTGGTGAAGAAGGCATGAGAGTATAGTTCAGTTCAAAAAAGTATTCTGCTGCACTGCTCAAAATACAGCCCACAGCCTACAAGTCCTATTTTATTCATGGTGGTCACCTATTCCAGCACTATCCAAGCTCGAGTGCCGAGCTTCCATAATCTCGACAAGATCGCATGCATTCCAGGCGATTTTATTCAAGTCATTCATACATAAACGTGCTTAATATCTCAATCCCATTCTTGCGGATGACGTTAAGTTCAGGAAATAAATACCACTTTCGAGGTCTGCTTGCTACGAGGGGGCAGCTTCAGGACAGAGTTCGTGTCATTTAAAAATCTTTACAAGAGCCATACCGTGAACGCACTAACAGGGGCAAGTTCGATGGGAGCGAGATTTAAGTCCCACCGAGAGCGAATTTTGTGAACTGCGGAATGCAAGATTGGGGGAGATGTGGGCATCACCTGGTGGCGAGGATGATGATCTCCGTGCGGGTCGGCGTGACGCGCACCTCCACGCCGCTGTAGCCATCTTCAGCGAGTTCCCGAGTCAGGAACTCGTTCATCTCGGCCTTGAAGACTCCATCGGCCACAAACTTCACACGACCACACAAAGCACGAGGGATCCAATGTAACTAACCATGTAGCCAAGTCGGAACAAGTGTTGCTAGTCAACACCTATTATTCAGAACAGCAACAGCCACCATTAGGCAATAAGTGAAGTTGGCGTGAGTGCAGCGGTGGTGCTAGGCTAGGTGCACTTTGAATCAATATCAAGCCAACACATCCGCGTGGCTAGTGGTTAGCGAGCGCCTATTAAGATGGGTGCGGAATAGACACGTGTGAATGAGGGATGGTGTTCGCTGGACCAATAACGCCCGGTCACCTTCGTATCTCAAAGTCTGCTGTCCACGACACGCCATTTTACTGAACCACATGAAAGACTATTTTTGGCCCAGTCAACCTGTGTAACACGAGGGGTTTACACACCTCTTCGCACGCCGCTCTCCAGACCTCTATGCACACTCCTTTCTCATCCACAAACTCCTATTAGCACGGTTGGCTACGTACGGTGCGAAACAAGTTCAACGTACACATACAAGCAAAGATGGTCCAACGTTTTGCACCACGTGCCAAAGGAGCTTCAGTCGGGCATGACGAATAAACTCCCGCTATTATAGCACGTGGCGAACAACATGTGGCAACAGCCGAAGACATATCGGCGATATTACAGCCCAACGATGCACACCTACCTAGAACGCACGGCTATACTCCCTACTCCCGCACGCACACCCATTCTCACTTAGAACATCTTCATTCCCGCACATTACCTCGCTGGTCCCCTCTCAAACTCTCCAAAACAAAAACTCCATGCGGCCATACAACCCGGCATGCATTCCAACACGTACTGCGGACCCAAACCTCCCCGGCACACAAAAGATGCTCCGTGTCGTCAACAGCTTTTGTCCCACGCGCTGTTAGCGAGTACGCACCCAATGAAGGCCTGCACGGCACACGAGGTCGGTGGCCAGCACAACGCCCGGCCGTCTTTGTCTCCCAAGTGGCGATGTATACGCATCGCACCAGCTACTCACGAGGCCGAGGGGAGGTCTAGAACCGGTTAAAATTTTCGCCAACATTTCAGCAGGAATTGAACTCGGGTAGCCGGCTTCATAGCGCGGCGTGCTAAGCACTGCGCCACCGCTCCCCATAGACGCCACCATCAGAGGGAAGCTGCAGCAACCTCACCCGGGAGCGAACCTCGCCCGCACCGCCATACGAGCTGGAGCGCTCGGTGGTGTAGCGGTTGCCGCACTGCGCTCTAAAATTCAAAGTTCTGTATTTAGCGATTCTGTACTGCTGCGTGAACAGCGATACATGAACAAACTTCATGACGATCGATTAACACAGCATAACACTTAATAGCACCGAATTCGAGCCATGTACTATTAAACTCGCTCCGGCTAACATCAGTGGCTCAGTGTTGTCTCAACTTGGCCTGGGCCCTCCACTATAAAGCCGCACCAACCGGCTAAGTACGGCCTAATAATATGAATGCCCGACGAGGTGTGGAGAGGCCTCGATCCAGCAGTGGACTGAGCAGCACGATGACCCCCAAATACCCTGTAAATGCCTCACGGCCAACACAACTCTCCTCGTTTCTCCACAATCCAACCCGAGCCTTCAAGCACCGCGACCCCGGCTACACGGGGCGAGCGCGCAATCCACCCTCAATCGCACCTATCGCAGCGCCATCCATTCAAAAGCCCGACGCCAATCGCTGCCCGAGACGACGCGGACACCGCCGCGTCGCTTTTCGTGGAGGCAGCGGCGTGCGGTGGCGCGAAGAAGGGCGATGGAGGCCCGCCTCACCTTCTTCTTCTTGGACATCTGCGTTGCCATGATGGCGGCTGGAGCGGGAAAGGAAGTGACGCGCCCGGGGGTCGCGTGAAGAGGGCTCGAGAGGGAGGTTCCACGTGACGCGGAAGTGCTCCGCCCCCCCGGGTGGAAGGGGGTGGGGCCTCATCGTGTCGGCGGACCACGTGGAGTGGACACCGCAGCCAGGGTGGAAGCCGAACCCGGCCAGGTTAACTCTTAACGCTACCCCCCCCCCCCGTACCACTAATCTCACCTTTACTGCTAACTCACACTAACTAACCTGTATTCAACCTCACCGTAATTCCTAACTTGTCTCTACCCCGAACCTAACTATAACCCTAGGCTAACTAGAACAGTATCTCTAACGGCCTATCCGTAAACACTCATCCTAACCTAAAGCGGCCGCCCGAACGCTAACCCTCTCTACCTTACATAACCCTAACTTAACACTAGCCTACCTTCAATAGAACTGAACACTAACCCCTAAGATAACATTAATATAACCTATCTACAACATTTTGACCATAACCTCGAATGTACTATTTAACACTAACCCTTAGCTTTACACCAATCCTGACTTAACTGACCGTATTCTGACTCTTAACTCGTATCCCCTGACCTGACCCGTGTGTTGCTCTTAAACTCGGGCAGCGTTGCTCCGGCACCTCGCGTTGCGCCGCCGCCACGTGGAGCCGGCTCCGCTCAAGACGTCTTCTACCGCGTCGGCCTTCGTCACCCCGCCTCACCCCCGTGAGCTCATGCCGCACCTCTCCTCCCTGAGCCTGGATGTCACCCCGACTGCTGCTGCCTCGTGCCCCGGGGTCACCATGGTAAGGCTGGCGTGCGGTGTCTCTTATCTAGGGGGTTGCGGGAAGTGGCGGGGGGGGGGGTCAGTGCCTCCCGGCTCCTCCAGGTGCGGGGACCGAGCAGAGCTGATGTCATCGTGGTGGTCTCACGTCTTCGTTTGTACGTGTGTTGAGGCACGCATAACATTTTCATTTCGTGTCCATCGCACCCGACGTGCTCAGAGCAGCGATGGCCATTGTACAGGCACAGGCCCCCGGCTGTGATGATGAATAGTGTAAAATCGCCTCACGGCATATCTCATGGATACAATAGACGTGTTGGTTCGTACAATCGGACTCGTGGGTCAATGTGCGTTTTACATCGGCATTTGTTTAAGCTTGGAGCGGTGGCGCAGTGGTTAGCGCACTGCGCTGTGGTTAGCGCACTGCGCCATGAACTGTGGAGAAGCGCCATTGCTAATGTTAAGGCCAGTGTTATTGACCAATGTGTTGAACTACTTGTATGTATGTAGTGCTTCTTTCGCACCGTACGTAGCCAACCGCGCTGAGCCGTGGCTCACCTCAGTGACGAGTGATAGCTTAACCGTTCCTTGATTGCACCCCTTCACCGCGAGCTGACTAGTGTGGTGAAGTATGGACATGGGAACAACGACCTATTTCAACAGGGGTGGGTATGCAAGATACGACTGTGGATCCCCCTCCTTTCTCCAGACTCACTTTTACTGAAATTGCATACCTGTTAACCCCTTATCAGTGCCTGCCTTATTACAGACCAATTCAGACCTTATTGGTCACCCCATGCCCTTATAAATATACAGTGAGGGAAAAAAGTATTTGATCCCCTGCTGATATTGTACGTTTGCCCACTGACAAAGAAATGATCATTCTATAATTTAAATGGTAGGTTTATTTGAACAGTGAGAGACAGAATAACAACAACAAAATCAAGAAAAACGCATATCAAAAATGTTGTAAATTGATTTGCATTTTAATCAGGGAAATAAGTATTTGACCCCCTCTCAATCAGAAAGATTTCTGGCTCCCAGGTGTCTTTTATACAGGTAACGAGCTGAGATTAGGAGCACACTCTTAAAGGGAGTGCTCCTAATCTCAGCTTCTTACCTGTATAAAAGACACCTGTTCACAGAAGCAATCAATCAATCAGATTCCAAACGCTCCACCATGGCCAAGACCAAAGAGCTCTCCATGGATGTCAGGGACAAGATTGTAGACCTACACAAGGCTGGAATGGGCTACAAGACCATTGCCAAGCAGCTGGGTGAGAAGGTGACAACAGTTGGTGTGATTATTCGCAAATGGAAGAAACACAAAAGAACTGTCAATCTCCCTCGGCCTGGGGCTCCATGCAAGATCTCACCTCGTGGAGTTGCAATGATCATGAGAACGGTGAGGAATCAGCCCAGAACTACACGGGAGGATCTTATCAATGATCTCAAGGCAGCTGGGACCATAGTCACCAAGAAAACAATTGGTAACACACTACGCCGTGAAGGACTGAAATCCTGCAGCGCCCGCAAGGTCCCCCTGCTCAAGAAAGCACATACATGCTCGTCTGAAGTTTGCCAATGAACATCTGAATGATTCAGAGGACAACTGGGTGAAAGTGTTATGGTCAGATGAGACCAAAATGGAGCTCTTTGGCATCAACTCAACTCACCGTGTTTGGAGGAGGAGGAATGCTGCCTATGACCCCAAGAACACCATCCCCACCGTCAAACATGGAGGTGGAAACATTATGCTTTGGGAGTTTGTTTCTGCTAAGGGGACAGGACAACTTCACCGCATCAAAGGGACGATGGATGGGGCCATGTACCTTAAAAACTTGGGTGAGAACCTCCTTCCCTCAGCCAGGGCATTGAAAATGGGTCGTGGATGGGTATTCCAGCATGACAATGGCCCAAAACACACGGCCAAGGCAACAAAGGAGTGGCTCAAGAAGAAGCACATTAAGGTCCTGGAGTGGCCTAGCCAGTCTCCAGACCTTAATCCCATAGAAAATCTGTGGAGGGAGCTGAAGGTTCGAGTTTCCAAACGTTAGCCTCGAAACCTTAATGATTTGGAGAAGATCTGCAAAGAGGAGTGGGACAAAATCCCTCCTGAGATGTGTGCAAACCTGGTGGCCAACTACAAGAAACGTCTGACCTCTGTGATTGCCAACAAGGGTTTTGCCACCAAGTACTAAGTCATGTTTTGCAGAGGGGTCGAATACTTATTTCCCTCATTAAAATGCAAATCAATTTATAACATTTTGACATGCGTTTTTCTGGATTGTGTTGTTGTTATTCTGTCTCTCACTGTTCAAATAAACCGACCATTAAAATTATAGACTGATCATTTCTTTGTCAGTGGGCAAAGGTACAAAATCAGCAGGGGATCAAATACTTTTTTTCCCTCACTGTATCTACGTGACTTTGACGAACGACCCAAAGAATAAGATTAGAGATTAACTTGTGAGTGATTACGCCGCATATTTGCTTGACCCTAGAGCTGGTGAACTGCAGCTACGATTAACATCTGCAATATTTACAGGAACTGATCCATCTTTATCGACCAACGAGGTCCTTGATATCTTCAGATCGCCTTCTCAGTACTCCAAGGTCAATTATTATTTGCTGGGCTGATCGGGGGTTTGCCAGTGCAGCTCCCAAACTTTAGCACGCTTTGCCTTGGCTAATAATTAAAATCGTGAGCCATATTTAAGTCTGGTTTGAAAACTAATATCTTTAAACTGGCCTAGTTCTGGCCGTTTAATCTGGTTCTGTTTATTTCCTGCTGTCCATACATGGTGTCCCAACAGTACGAAGTCACATGGTGTACTGTGCAGTTGTCTCCTTGCGCCTCTGCATGAATGCGGTGCGCCGGCCTCAGCTGTCGTTCAAAGCGCCTGTCTCTCGTCCCACTCAAGGAACCCGCTGAGGAGAAGGGCGACCCAGAGCCGAGCAAGACGCTGGGGGCTGTGAATGAAGAGCAGCAGCAGCAGCGTGTAACTGATGCCTCCAGCATCGAAGCCGATCTTACGACTCATGGCGGTGATCACAGAGAGGAGCATGAGAAGCCGGATAAAGATACAGACGATAGTGATGAGGAAGATGAAGAGGAAGAGGAGGAGGAAGAGGAGCCTCCCAAAGAGCCGCGCGTGAGAGAGGCGCCAGAGGACATCAAACTGGAGGCAATCGCGACCACCATGTGCATGCACCCGTCACGCGACGTGATGGCCGTGGGCGACCTCGATGGAGATATCTTCCTGTGAGTGAAGCTGCTGCTGACTCTTCCTCTGACCTGTGACCTCCCCCCCTACCCCACTCCCTGCCTACACCCTCCATGCACCAGACTTTAAAGCAATTTTACATGGTCTTTTGGCATGTGCGCCCTTGTGAGCCGATGTATTTCCATCAGCGTGTGGTCGTGCATGTTTGCGTGCGTAGGTACTCGTACTCGTGCACGGAGGGAGAGACGCGCGAGCTGTGGTCCTCGGGACATCACCGCAAGGCGTGCCGCGGCCTCGCCTTCTCTGACGACGGCGCCCGTATGCCATGCACACACAAGCGCACGCACGCACACACGTGCAGAGACAAATGTCTCCCGCGTAGCCCACGTAGGCGAGGTGGAGCAGGTGCTGATGGCGAGTGGCACCTTTGAAGGTTGGCCACGGCGTACCTATGAGGGGGTGGTGAGGCTCGCACCACGCTGGCCGGCCGCCTTTGTCTCCCCACCAGTGCTGATGTTAAATTACGCACGGCACCAGTGGTTCGTGTAAGACCGAGTTGACCTCGGGAGGCCCTTAACCGGTTCAGATATTCCCCACTAATGTTGGCACATGCGTGGGGAATCGAATGTGGGTCGCCGAGTTCATAGCGCATTGCGCTAACCACTGCGCCACCGCTCCGTGAACGCGCAGAGTATGTGTGCATGCGGCAAGCAGTGCGGGCGGGAAGTGTTACGCGCGCAAATATGTCGGTTGCGTGACGCGCACACAGGGCGTTTATCGACGGGCGTCGTGCCTTCCTGGCCCTCGTGAGCCGTGTGTCACATCTGCCTCCCTTCCCCAACAGAGCTCTACTCCGTGTCCAAAGACAAGTCTGTGCTGCTGTTTGACGTGGAGCAGGGCAAGCTGGTGAAGAGGATTCAGAAGGCTCACGAGTGAGTGGCCCTTCAATCATTGGCTGAAACCATTAATACATATGGAGGACCACAGTTGGTAGCACCAGCTCACCGCCTGGCTGCTACCTACCAGCTCCTGTCTGTGGTTTCTCAGTGATCGTGAGAGATAGGATTTTCACAAACGATGACACAATAGAGGTTTTTTGGGTTAAACAAACGATGGCGCTTTATATAAAACTAAATCAACATTATTTCGCACTGTGTTGGAGTTAAGACTGTGTTAGGATAAAAAAAATGTTGAAGTTAGTGCTTGGTTAGGGATAGGGCTTGCGTAGAGGATTCAGGAATTTGTTTCATGGCAGAACTGTGCTTCATGGTATTTAGTGAATGCTTTTTTCACAGAGCAGCAGATCCACAGAAAATAATGAAACACATACATATATGCGTCGATGTTATGTGTGAGTGGACGTCAGCTCACGTTACCACAGAGCCACGTAACGGCCTTCTCCTCCAGCATGTGCAAGGCAAACCAGTCCGGCCGGCACGTCCTGACAGACTTCACAGTCGGAGACGACGTGCGCAATGGTAGGTCAGGCTTCGGCGTCTCTCAGCAGGTCGTGCTCCGGCGTTTGCTAATCTCGCTCTCCCCTCGTGCCTCCGACTCTCACCTTTGCGGCTGCACGCAGCTCGGCCATCTACAGCCTCGCGGTGATCGACGAGAACCTGACAGCGACGGGCGGTGACGACGGCGTCGTGCGCGTGTGGGACTTCCGCCAGGGGACGTACGTCATGGAGCAGCTGGAGCACACCGACTTCGTCAGCAGCATGGTCGTGGGAGATGACAAGAGGACGTTGCTCACCACTAGGTGAGCGGACCGGCCACCGCCCGCAGCCTTAGCGAGGTCCCGCGGCAGGGACTTCACCGGCACGCGGACGACAACAACGGCCCGCGGAAGTGGATATCGTCGAGCCGCCACGGGAGAATAGCGACCTCCGGTCTAGAGTGCCGCATTAGGTCGGGTCAAAACCGAGTAGTTATTACTGCTTTTGCTGTTGGGGTGCAGTTCGGGTCGTCCCAGTGAATGTGGAATGTCGGGCCAATGTTGGCCCGACAGTTTCAACTGCATGACGTTGGCCACGTCACCGGCCCATGTTGACGAGGTCCAGTGGTAGGGCTGTGTTCGACGCTTGTTACGGAGGTTCGTCGTTTGGATCCAGCGGCCTCCCTGATTAATACTGTGAGTTTATTAATTATTAAAATACTACACGCCGTCTGTTTCACGGTCGATGTTAGAGATCCCGTGATGTCAGTCACAAGAGTTGGCCATCATGTGCCGGTGTCACATGCCAAATGTGAAACATTTCACGCAAATTACTCAATTAGAATCTACACAGCAATTGTCGCCTGCTACTGCCAGGACTCTCCTGAAAAATATCCATGAGACTCAATGAGGCTTTTATGAGTAAACAAGCACCAAACTGCTCGCGCGATGTAATTTAAGTTTTAATTCATCACTGCGGTGATGTCACTTCTGTTCTTTGGGTCTATCGGTAAAGTCACTTAGGTTCAAAAATAAAATTAAGTCAAGATGTCACTTCTGCTTTATGCAGAACTGTGCGCTATGGTGGAACTGTGCTCCTTAAAATCACTGGAAAGTGTTGAAGTGTCGCTGGCGAGGCCGTGTTGTGATGAGGTTTTGCGTGACGGCTGCTGTCACGATCGCCGTGTGCGAGCAGTGGCGACGGGACGCTGTGCGCCTTCAACGTGCGGCGCCGGAGGTTCGACGTCAAGTCCGAGGTGCAGGACTGCGACCTCACCTCCCTCGCCATTGTCAAGGTGAGCCCACCGTGACACCGCGTTGTTGGGGTTTTGCTTCTCGTCCGGGTGAGGACTCGAGAGACCGGGTTGAATGGCGCTGTGTGAAATCAGATTTTAGTTTGAATTAACAGTCTTTACAAAAATGAAGCAGACAAAGCTGTCGGGAAACGGGGCTACACGGAGCGACACGCAGTGGCTATATTGCAGACCGACGTCCAATGATTCCAGTGGTGTCTTGCCTGATGATGGTGGCGGTTGTGGCAGTTGTGGTTTTTCTCGCGTGGCGGCGGTGGTGGCGGTGGCACGTGTGAGCAGGAGGGGACCAAGGTGGTGTGTGGCTCGAGCGAGGGCTGGCTGCTGCTCTTCAACTGGGGTGGCTTTGGCGCGGTCAGCGACCGGTTCTCCACGCGCACCGAATCGGTCGACTGCCTGGCACGCGTTTCAGACAACCTAGTGTGCACGGCCAGCATGGACGGCATCATCAGGTTCCTGCCCCACCATCGTCATCATCATTTATACCGCACCTCACATATGTTCCACTTTGTCCCATGTGTTCCGTGTCTCTTGGCCCGTGTCCCACATCACCAATCTCGTCTCCTATCATTGTATTCCGTGTTCCGCTTGTGATTTTCAGGTCAATCCAATCTTAGGCGCCGTACCGCTGGTGTGCGCATGTGTGCTACCCCCCTCACCCCACCCGCTTTGTTTCACCACCATGTGCAGGGCGGTGAGCCTGCTGCCAAACCGCGTGCTCGGCGTGGTGGGGCAGCACGGAAATGACCCCATAGAGGCGCTGGTGCTCACGGGGGATGGACGCTTCCTGACGAGCTGCGGGCACGACCAGCTTGTCAAGTTCTGGCCGGCAGATGAGCTGCGCCGGCGCAAGGTCAACGACTACCGGCGCCGCGTGCAGAAGAACCGCCCGCTCCTCGGACTCAATGCCAAGGCCGACACGGCCGACGATTTCTTCGCGGGGCTCCTGGAAGGGGCGCCAGATCCGACCGCGCCACCGCAAAGTTCGCAGGGCGGCAAGCGCCGGCACGAGTCCGACAGCGATGACTCGGATGACTCGGATGACTCGGACTGAAGGTGGGGGTGGTGGAGGGAGATCGGGACTGCGAGCTCCAGACACACGTTTGAGACGTCACGCACACACAGTGAGCGAGTCGAGATGCGTGAAGGTGATGCGAGGGTTGGCCGTAGAGGACCGATTTTGTTTGGTGCCGTTTGACTCTTTTTCAACTGTACAACCGAGCCGCGCCAGGGCCATGCCGAGCCAGCGCTGCGCTCCTCGAGAGGCGCCGGGATTGTTTTTCCACTGCGCGAAACGTGCCGTGGCGTGCCGCGGACGTCGCTAACAAGGCGATCGGCGTGTAGGCAGTTGTGTACTAACGTCACGCAGCGAACGGGTCGGCACGCGTGTTATTTCTATTACGTGATTATTTACGTTTGTTTACCTAGGAAAGCCTCATTGAGGCTCATGACTATATTTTTGTCAGGGTCCTGTGAAATGTTTGCGTTGAGTGCTTTGTATAGTTCTAGATTTGAAGCTTTCGTGACTGCAAGGATCCATACTCTTTGGTTCTATTCGGTAAAGTCACGTAGGTAAAAAATAAAACAACATTTTTTACCTACGTGACTTTACCGAATAGAACCAAAGAGTATGCTTTGTATAGTGCCAATTGAGTGATTGTGCTGCGCACTTAACATTTGGCAAATTTAGACCACGACCCTGACACAGTGGCCGACCCTTGCAAATAACATCACGGGATTCTTAACGTCGACAGTGAAGCAGACGGCGCGTAGTGTTTTGTATAATTAATACAACCCGCAGTATTAATCAGGGCGGCCGCTGAATTCCAGTCGTGAACCTCTGCAACACGAGGCAAACCGTGAGGGTGCGTCATCGCCCCATGATCCCGATATCCCAGGAGAGATGGGCACTTGAGTCGGTGGCGAGGTAGACTGGCGAGGTCTTGGTTGATGGTTCGGTGGTTGTCGTTGGCAAGAAAACGTGTCAACTCCCTTGCAGCTTGTATTTCCCTGCGAATATTTGGTGGCGGAACGTTCGCTGGAATAGTCAGGCCCGCGGGGTCGGCGTCGGTTTCAGCGTCGCGGTTACGATGCGCGTCGCGTTCTTCACTTGTGCATCGAGCAGTTTCGAGGACGAGCTCCCGGACTTCCAACGACATCACCGAACGCAAGCGATGTCGCAGACGTCTTCCGTTTAATAAAACATCCGTGTTCCATTGTCTTATGAATCTTGACAGTTGACTGGTTGAATCCACTTGATAATCCACTTGAAAATCGGTCAGTCGTTGACCCCCCCTCTCCACCAATTTCGAGCTGTCCTTGGGGCCCCCCTCTGACACAGCACCCCTACAGTGTAGTTGCGTCAAGGATGATGATTCACTCTCCATAAATCTTCTTCCCGCACCGCGCACTCACGCCCAGCGCGCTCGCCCCCGAATCTCCGAACCTCGTTCCGCATTCTAAAATACAGCTTGGGTTGAAATTAAACTCGTGTGACGTGTCATCACACAGGGTCACTTGCCCGAAACGTCACCTGGTTAGATATTTTATTTTAAGGCGACAGTTCTGTTGACGAGTGTGCTGAATAGTTGTTAATTGTGCCTGTGTATCACTGCCAACGCAGCAGCAGCCGCAGCATCACCACCAGAGCGTTGTCTCTGAACCCCGCCATCAAACTCCTCGTAAGGCGCGGGGGACATCACCCCGCCGTGACGCCTCTTGTTACGGTGAACGTTTGTTTTGGTCTCCGTGGCTGCCTGCGATTCAGACGCCATTCCCTCTTTCATCGCTCTGAGGTAAAAGCGACCACAAATCACAAACGCCTTCCGTCTCATTGAATAATAATGATGATAATTTGCCCTAACTGGGGGAAGCGCCACCCGCAACAACGCCTTCTAAATGACAAATGTCAACGACTGTGCTGCGTCACGTGCTGCGTCACGTGTGATAAAGCGCGGCGACGTCACGAACCTCTGGCGGGCTCGGGCGGGAGACCGCCGAGAGGGGTGGTTTGTGGGGAGGGGGTGCTACAGGGGGTGGGGTTTGAAAGGTAGGGGGCGGGGTTTGTAGGAAAAGAATGGCGAGGGTTTAGAGAAAGGGGCGGAGTGTTAATGAAGGGGGTGGGGTTTTAATGAAAGGGGCGGGGTTTTAATGAAAGGGGTGAGGTTTTGGGGGTAAGGGGGCGAGGCTTGGTGAGGAGGGGCGAGCAGGGAGAGGTCACGTGGCACGACTGGCGCTGTGTGTCTGGAGGCGCCGAGTGACAACAACAACAACGGCGGTGACGACGACGAGAAGCCCCGATCGGTCGGATCTCTCCTCGCTCGCTCCTGATCACCGTTAAGCGACGAACAACGCATCTTGAGGAGGTCAAGCTGCGTCCCCCCCCCCCCCGAGTCGTCGCAAGCACGCGAGAAGGTGAGCGTCGAGTCGCCAAATCAAGTTTCGTGTTTACATGGCGTTGCGTGTGTGGGGCGGTGGGGGTTACCGCGCATGTTGGTTGAGGTTGTCAGGCGTAAATAATACGAACTTTACACGTTCGTTCTCGTTCAGATTCGTTCCTGAAGAGGAGATGGTGTGTAATATGCGACGTTTCTGGCAGTGGCCCTTATAGCGATGCGATTATGACGATAGATTATGACGAGAGGATTGTCGCTGTGAAGGGCCGTTAAAGCGTCACGCCGCCTATTGTATATTTGTATAATGAGGGCAGTGTTAATGACAAATTTTTTTTATTCGTATTAATAGCGAATGCGCGGCCAATACAATTTTACAATTCTTCGCATTGATAAGCACAGATCGCTGTCGATTGGTCGAGCCCGTTACCACCGGCCAATGGTGGCTCGCTATGCTGCGTCACGTGAGCGCTTGTTGCCTATCCGCTGTATGGAATGTAACGCGTGCTGCAATGCGGGACCCGGGTGACCTGACCTCACTTGACCTGACCCGTTTACTTTGACCCGAGCTGACTCAGGGTCCCTGTTGCCCATGGCAATGGCCAATGGAGGTCGAGCTGAGGGTTGCGTTATTCATCTGCGGCGTTGCGCAATCTGCCGCAGGCGGGGTCTAGACCGGTCGCGACAGGATAGAACCAGTATGGACTGGTTCGGGGGCATTGGATCGGGAGGGGGGGAATTCAAGACTGACTGGATCAGTGGGAACTGGATCGGGGAAATTAGATCAGTTGGTGACTAGATCAGGGATATTGGATCAGTTGGTGACTAGATCAGGGATATTGGATCAGTTGGTGACTATATCAGGGATATTGGATCAGTTGGTGACTAGATCAGGGATATTGGATCAGTTGGTGACTAGATCAGGGATATTGGATCAGTTGGTGACTAGATCAGGGATATTGGATCAGTTGGTTACTAGATCAGGGATATTGGATCAGTTGGTGACTAGATCAGGGATATTAGATCAGTTGGTGACTATATCAGGGATATTGGATCAGTTGGTTACTAGATCAGGGATATTGGATCAGTTGGTGACTAGATCAGGGATATTGGATCAGTTGGTTACTAGATCAGGGATGTTGGATCAGTTGGTGACTAGATCAGGGATATTAGATCAGTTGGTGACTAGATCAGGGATATTGGATCAGTTGGTTACTAGATCAGGGATATTGGATCAGTTGGTGACTAGATCAGGGATATTGGATCAGTTGGTGACTAGATCAGGGATATTGGATCAGTTGGTGACTAGATCAGGGAGATTGGATCAGTGGGAACTAGAACAGGGAGTCAGAGGGACTGGATTATTGGGGAACTGGATCAGTGGGAGCGAGATGAGGAGTGACTTGATCAGGGAGATTGTACTCGTGGGGACTGGACTAGGGGCATTGGATCAGGGGGGACTGAATCATGGGGGACTGGATCAGGGAGCATTACATTATGTAAATCCTTGGATACTAGATCAGGGGAGACCTGACTGTGTAATGCAGCACTGGAGGCAAAGTTTGGTGGATGGCACACATGTGAAATTCCCTTCCCATGGGCGTTGAGTTGCCATACCCTGGCTCACCTGGAGAAGTCAATATAGCAAATGGATAATACCCATCCGTTTTAATCGGTACGGAGGTGGTCTTGCCCCCTTGCGTGCATTGGTTTTCTCTGGGTGTTCCGTTTGCCTCCCAAATATATAAACACTCATTAACTGGCTAAAATAATCTTAAAACAAAACCCCAAAACAGTACCCCCTGAACAAGTAGAGGATCGAGAACTGTAGTATTTTGTACATTTGTCCTATTGTTTGCTTTATTGAAAGGGAATTATAATATCTCTTGGAGAACCTTTTAGTCGACCTGATTCTCGATAAACATTTTCCTGGTTGCAGGTGGCATAGATACGTGACGAGTCTGCACAAACAAAGCGAGTGATATACTGAAGGTGGATCGTTTATCCTAACAGTGTGTGTTTTATGCATGTGAATATTTCAGTGCTCGCAGGCAAACGACCCCTTCGCTGAGCGACCATGTTTGCACAAAAACCCTTTGGAAGTGGATTCGGCACCAGCGCAGGCAGTGGCGTCTTAGCCGCTCCCTCGGGGCCCTTCGGCACAAGTAAGTGACATAGCGACCATTCCCTGAGCCACCAATGTTTCTTTCTTTTCCATGACTACATCTCCTGTGTCCCTTTCCTTCCTTGGTCCCTGAGTCTTCTCTGTCTCTTGTCCCCGGCAGGGTAGTTACGTGGCATCCATTGTTGTGCCAGTTTTAACAGCCAAACTCCATTCCTCATTTTTTCCCTGCCCCAGTCCAGACATTTAGTTAAACTGTTCAGTCTGAACACATAATGTCCATCTGGCGATCGACACATTATGTGAATGCAGTGGACTGATAAATATAAAAATCTGACGAATGGATATTGCGTTTGAGATTTAGAAGTAGCCTCTAAAATGTCAGTGTATGCTGATCAAAAAGCAATTGGACAGTGTTCATTATTGAAAACTTCATGATTACATTACGAAGGTTAATTTATTACGCATTTCTTCAGTAGCCATTCAACCGAAGTAAACTCGGGCTTTTAATTCATATCTTAATTATAATTTCACGTGCTGCCAACAGTTCAGCAGTGGTGACTGGAGCACAGCCCAGGGGATGTTGAGTTGTAAATGCGTGTGTGGGATCTCACAGACACATACGACACAAAAGGGGGGGGGTGGGGTGGAGGGCTTACATAGTTGCGTAGCGCAGCACTAGCTAGTAGTGATGTCCAGACAGTGTCTGTGTGTGCTTCGTAATATTATATCACCACTGCATATGTGATATACGGCAGACACTGGGTTCGGTGGTGGCTTGTTCGGGAGCACAGGCTTTGGGGGTCTGTTTGGCAACAACGACCAGTTTAAGCCAGGTACGGCCGTGGAGGTATAATACACGTAGCTAGTACTTCAAGATGGGCTGCTAAGGTATTCCCCCATATCTGTTGGCTCGTGGAAGGGAAGCCTCATATTACTCTGGGTGTTGGTGTAGCAGCAGCATTTAAGTCGTTAGTTCAGGCATGGGGAAGCTGTGGATTGTGTGCCAGATATAACCCACTACTTTATTTCATACAACCCATAGTCACAGGAGGCCTACCACTTAAGAATGACCCACAAACAATATATTTTATTTTATTTTGATGGCCCAGGTCATTTGGGATCTCATCTGGTCAAACAAAATAACATTTTATTTGAAATGTATCCATCACTGCAAGCATCACTGCCACACTAACCAGCTACATGAAGGGAATACTTTTGACTGGGCAAGACTATAATTTTACCGTACTCTGTCACTCAAGTGCCCTTTGAGGTTAGAGGAGTGTCTCAGATGTGTGTTAATGTGTGACTGCACGCCAAAGGAATTTAAACGTCATATTCGGTCCTCAGAAAAAGGTTCCCCACCCTAGCTTTAGTTTTTAATTTGTCTCAAGCAGTATATTATTCTGCACTGCACCGTTGCATGTGTATACGTCTTTGCGTCTGTTTTTGTGCACAGGTGGGATGTTTGGAACAGGTAGTGCTTTCGGACAGCCCGCCAATTCGACGGGTGGCACAACAGGAGGGTTCGGCTTTGGCGCAGCTCCGAATGGGGGGCTGTTTGGAAACGTCCCCAGTGGAGGAGGGGGACTTTTCTCAAATGCCCAGCAGAACACAGGTGGTGTGTTTGGGCAGAACAAGCCAAACACATTCACAGGTGTGTGTGTGTAGCAGCATATGTCATTGTCACAGATGTAAAATAAAAGTAAATTGTGCAGCCTTGTACCGATCCACTGCTGGATTTCGGCCTCCCCACACCATCTCAGTAATATGGGTTATTTGACTTTACCACGCTGAGCAGCAACACTGCTGTTAACATGACTGGGAAAAGAGCTTTACTTGTCAATTCCCTACTGGCCAATATTTATAGATACAAGATAAAAACTTGCTGCTTCCTATTAACTTATACCCGGTTTAAAATGTGTTGAATAATCGCAATTTTTTATGAAAAATATCCAGGTTTTTTATAGTCT